TTTTATGTTTTATGTTATTAAACTTTGTATAGTTTAATATACTCCTGGTGTTCACAGTTTGTTTTTGGAAAGATGATCACACCCAGGAGTCACTGTTTTAGTTTTAGTGTTATTAGAAATATATATATATATATATATATATATATATATATATATATATATATATATATATATATATATATATATATATATATATATACACACACACACATACATATACATGTATGTTTGTGTGTATATGTACACACACATATACATGTATGTATATATACTGTACATTGACATAGGTACACAATTTCTATGTTTAGACTTGTTTTATTGCAATTGCAAGACATATTGTAGTTTGGACTTAAAAATATTAATGGTAGCTAAATGCTTTTCACTATTATATGAAAATGTATTGAATGTAGTTGGAAATTTACCAACTCCTTTACAAAGTCCATATACAAATATACTGTATATGTTCCATATATTTGCTTCTGAATGAAGGCTGGGCCCAAACAAGATTCTTTGTAGAGTAGATGACTTCTTCATAGTATTGCTGTTGTGAGTCACATTTTCCTCCCCCACAACAGCAGAAATCCTTCTATGTTGCCTTTTTGACACTTTGGTCTAGCTTCTTAGAGTGGAATCTACCACAGCTTTCAATTGTCTCCAGCCATTTTGCTTTGCTTCCCTCTGGTTTCTTGATGCAGTGACTTCAGTTCCCTTTCCCCCATTTTCTCCCTCAACATTTTTTCTTACTTCCAAAATGATTTGTTCCTTATGATCTGCCCCGCCAGCTTCTCCTGTTGGTATGTTCCTTCTCTAAGTTGCCCTTCAAACAGCAGTTGAACAACTTTTCCCCCAGCACTTTAACGGGATCATATCCCAACCATTTTATTGGCCTATTAAGAACACAATCTTAGCTTTCTGAAATATTTTTCCATTGGTGGAAAAGACAAGTATTTTGAACTTCAGGATTTGCATACATAGAAACATAGAAAACTGATGGCAGAAAAAGACCTGGTGGCCCATGGAGTCTGCCCTTTGATTTTTTTATTTGATTTTTTTGAAAAAAATTGTTGGATGATGGACATATGTTTATCCCAAGCATGTTTAATCATCAATAATCATCAGTAATCATCAGTTACTACTGATTGACCCTCTACCTCTGCTGGAAGTTGGTTCTGAGCTTCCACTAGTCTTTCTCTGAAGTAATACTTTCTAACATTACTTTTGAACTTACCTCCTGTCACTCTGAGGTTATGCCGCCCTATTCGTAATTTTTGCTTAATATTGAAAATACTGCCTCCTAGAGCCTTGTTCACACCCTTAATATATTTAAAGGTTTCAGTCATGCCCCCTATTTTCCTTCTATCATCCAGGCTGTACATATTCAGTTTCTCCAATCTCTCCTGATATGCTTAGCCCCTCAGACCTTGCACCATTTTTGTTGATATACTAACAATATACTGTATACTATATAAGAGTCAGTGGAAAACTCACCAGCATTGTTTATTTTCATCACTTAATCGACACTTGAACCAAACATTACTTTTTCATAGAAATTAGAAAATCTTTACACTAATGCAAATGCTTAAAAAGATAATAATACTAATAATACTAATAATAAAGTTGGAAGGGACCTTGGAAGTCATCGAGTCCAACCCCCTGCTCAGGCAGGAAACCCTACACCATTTCGGACAAATGGCTGTCCAGTCTTTTCTTAAAAACTTCCAGTATTGGAGCATTCACTGCTTCTGGAGGCAGGTTGTTCCACTGGTTAATTGTTCTAACTGTCAGGAAGTTTCTCCTTAGTTCTAGGTTGCTTCTCTCCTTGATTAGTTTCCATCTGTTGCTTCTTGTCCTGCCCTCAGGCAATTTGATGTGTTTATTCCACCTTAGATTTAAACAAATCTCTCTTGTCTCTCTTTTTAAAACTCCACTCATTTTTTTCAGGTCACTGGACAGATACAATTTTTTGGAACTAAAGATATACCAGTTTGCCTTCCACTCTTTAGAGATATTTTCTTAAACTGAAGCAGCAATTCTTCATTACTTTCGGAATGCAGATGGCTACCTAGCAGAAAAGAAGTATTTGCCATTGCCCATTTTTTTATTACTGTCCCAGAGGAAATTGAAGTTACTATTCAACAAGAGCTTTGTGTTGAATTTAAAGAGGCCTGTATTCTTTTATAAGACTATATATAAACAACTTGATATTTCAGTATAATTTACAAGAAGAGATATTTTGTGATTTTTTTATTGACTTTTAACTACCATTATGTTTAATTAAATATTTTCTGCATCAATTACTCAGCAGCTGTATGATCTCTTACACCATTTCTCCATAACTCTTCAGGGATCAGTCTTATGGATATAAATACATAAATATAAAACTTACAAACTCGCACCGACAAAAACACAGACACACATACATTCATAAAGCAAGTATGTTGTGGTAACCTTTATTTATATGATAATATGTCACTCTTTTAATTTCAAATGAAAAAATATACTTTACTTGCTGTAGTAATATTTATCTGTCTCTGCATTTTTCCCCCTTTTGGAAAGGTATTCAGGAATCTCCTATACCAAATGGCCATTCACTTCCGGGTCGAGACTTCCTTCGGAAACAAATGCGGGGAGATCTTTTCACTCAGCAACAATTAGAAGTATTGGATCGAGTTTTTGAAAGACAGCATTATTCCGACATCTTTACGACAACTGAACCCATCAAACCAGAGCAGGTAATATTTAAAGCTTAGTTTTTGGCACCAATTATTTCATATTTGTCACTTACAAGACTGTCTCCAACATAAGTTTTAACTGAATACTTTTAATATTTGGAGAACCATACTTGAAAACAAGTATTATCACCTTCAGTATTATCATGTTCAGTTTTTTTTACTATTCATGAATTCATAATTGGGATACTGGGAATCTGAAATTCATTCTTTCAAGTGTACACATAGTGATACTGTAGAAAAGCAAATGCAGGAGGAGAGTGAGGACGCAAGAATTCCCATTAGTTCACAAAAAATTAAAGCACCAACAAAATGCACGGTAGAAATAAATTAAATTAGAGTAAAGGACTCCTACTGCAGAATATGAAGGGGGAGTATGTGAGTTACAGGACTTTTTTTAAAAAAACAAACCTGTATGCAATCCAATGTTGATTTGTGTTTCACATATGTATTAAATTAACCAGGACAACAATACCTTTAAGTCAGAGTGTTCAACCCTGTTTGGGATAAGGGACCAGTTGGGATTTTGTTTGGTCCAGATTGCTGCATATTCTGAAATAAATTAGGAGAACAAAAACTAAATTTATTCAACTTAGATTGAAACAAATTCAGTAAAAATGACTTCTTTTGGTGTAGTTCAATTTTTCTCCATCTGACAGATTTAAAAATACAGCTTGGTGACCTTACCTAAGGATTGGGGCTTGGCACATCAACCCTTCATATATACCACTGTTTTTCCTTGCTCTTGCACTGAACTTGAGACCATGATCCTAAACATAATTAAGCATCCTTTAATGTTCACTGGCATCTGTGACGCAGATTTGTGTATACCTCTTCCTGTCAATCATTTGTTGTGCTGTTCCCATTCAACTGTCTTCTCCCCTTTTCATCCTAAAATATTAGATGAAAATTGTAGAATGAATGATAATATTTGAGGTTCTTGCAAACAGGGATTATCTTTTAAGGTAACTTGCATATAGATATCTCTATTGTTCAGAATTTTCAATATTTTCCTCCTGATCTTTGAATCAATTATCTGTTCATTGTCATACTTCAGCATACCTATTTGAGTCTAGAACCTCTTTCTGTGTTTGAAGATGTTCTGGAAGACTTTTCTTGTATTTCTGCATCTATTTCCATCCTCATTGACTTTACAGATGCTGTAATATTGCTTGTTCTGTCTTCTAACAACTCTCTGAAATTGCTTGTCTTAGCTTGCATAAGTAGCAGTAGTATTTATTTATTCAATCAATGATCAGCAAATTTAAAAGAGCAGTAACAAAATGAAGCAAATTAATATGGAATACATATTAAAGACAAATCACATAACGATATTACATTCACATCTCTATTACCATATTAATATATCAGCTAGTCAAGCAATGATAAATTTAAAATGGAAAAAGTATAAAATAGAATAAATATACTGTAGAAATATATTAATTAAAAATAACTATCTAAAAGTGATATTATGGATAAAAGTGAGAACTTCTTAAACCAATTACTTCTTTAGCCATTTTTGTCTTATTTTCATTACGGCAACACAAAATTTGACTACTGCCCAGGTAAATGTTGGATAAATGTTTCTATTTAGTTTGTATTGTTTTAAAATGTTTTTATTGTTTTTATTGTTGTTATTTTTTGATTGAGATGGGCAGCTTTAGAAATTAAATGAATGAATGAATGAATGAATGAATGAATGAATGAATGAATGAATGAATGATAGTGGGTTTTAAATCCTGGAACAAATAATTCAGATAAAATATGTCTGAGCTGATATTATCAAAGAAATGGTAATAGAATCATTAAAGAAAGGATGCTAAAAGAGAGGCAAAATGAAATGTGAATGACAAAAATTAAAATAATGTTGGAGAAACAGTGGCAGATAACAGTACAGTTATCTCACGTTGAGTTATCCAGTGGTGTATTGTTCTCTGACAAGTGGTCCCATGTCAAGTCGGCTGGGGCAAGTCGGCTGGGGCAAGCTGGGCAGGGCAAGCTGGTCAAGGCGAGCTGGTCACGGCAAGCCAGCCATGGTGAGTTGTCCTAGACTGATCCAGGTTGTTTTCATCTGTTTCTTGGTGTTTGGGAGGTTTTTTTTACATTAATCCTTAACAACTGCTCTGATTTCATTTCACCATTTTTTTTATTCTGTATCAATGAATTTCCTGAGGTTTAGGTCTTCAAAGCAATTCAAAATGTTCCCCTTGAAAATAGTGGTCATATGCTTAAGACCATATAATGAAAACTGGAAGCTTTATTCTTCCACTATAGTTTGGCTTGGCGCTTGCACACGGGGTGTTCGTGTAGATTTCATAATTAGCTCCTGGCCACATCTTTGCAATTATAACTGAGCTCTTCCATCTCCTTGTACCAATAATATAGTCAATTTATATTTGTTGAATTCTGTCTTGTGATATCCATGTAACACAGGTATCGTTTTGATTGCTTGAAGAATGTGTTAATAGTTAAACAGATCATTGGAATGGCAGAAAATAAGATAATTCTCCTACCTCATTTATGTTTTTTAAGCTATAGAATCCAGCTACGTTTTCTTTTTTTACTATTTCCAGCTTGGACATTTCAGTTACTACCACAAGCAGCACATCTTGCTGCACTCTCTGTTGATTTTAGGTTGAACTTGATTCAACTTACCCTTTTTCTGCATCCATGGTTAAAGCATAAAGTTGAGTAAGTGTCACGTTGAAGAATTGTCTAATTGATTTTATTCAGTCATTGGTTACATTGTATCCAAGTATTCTTGTTTTTTTTCATATCCTGAATAGCAAAGTGTCCAATTCCAGTGAACTTCCATTTACTGATGCCTTTTTTAGTCAATGTGTGTTCAATTCATTTCATCTTTCACTCTATTGAGCTTCCTTATGATCATGCTTTTTATGTTCCATGTTCCCACTTAATTCTGTCTTTGCCACTGTGGACCTTCTTTTTCTGTATGGCATCATCAGCCATTAGACATCTTGAAGGCTCATAAACATCATTAGTATCCCAACAAATCCTCAGCAATCTCTTAGTAGTATATTGAATGCTGCCCACCATCCATCACTACATCATCAATCTCTTTATATTCCAACCAGGTGGTTATCTTGTTAAAACTGAAGAATGTTTACCACAACCTCTTCCCATACAGTATGAAATCATGCCTTTGCTGTTATCTCTAAAGTGGTTGTCCAACTTCAACTTCTTCCTATATCATTGGTGTCCAATATAAATGTCTGCTTTAGCTGGGCAGCTGGCTGACCTTCATGCTTTGGTTGACCTTCTGGGTGCATATACGTTTGGTATAAACTCCCATCATTCTTCTCTCATCCATCCCAGGTACAACCCCCTCCATGATGAGACAGGATAGCAGGACTTGAAGCATTATTTATTCAATAACCGTAAATAATGAGAAGTTTAGAACAGTCTTTTCAAAACCCAATTTGGGGACATGGCAGGCCATTATTTAAATGAGAATGCATAATAGATGGAACCAGCTATCTGTAAACTCTTCTTTTGAAGTTAGTTTTTGAGCCAACCTCATTCTCTGCTAGGGTCACTTTTTCGATTCTAGCAGCAGCATTATTTCTGCAAACACTTTCATGTGTGGCTACTTTTGTGTTGCTGCTTATAAGAACTTTTATGAAATTCTTTTTCATACCCATGAAGACTGAAAATGGAGCAAGATTCTCACACTGCTTAGTAATATGCCCAACAATTTTTCAAGTAATAATCAAATCTTGTAGTCTTTGTAGACTTTCTACTTTTGAATTGTTATGATTGGCCATACAGTCAGCCTGATGTTTTGATTGGATTTGGTATTTTTACCCACCTATCAATTCCTTCCCAAAGAATATTTAATAATATTATTAATATTAATAATATTAAAGGTATTGTCAGAGAATATATGCTATTCCTAGTAAAGCTGCCTTTTGCAATTGATTGATGGTGATTTTGTCAATGCCGATCGTATTCAAATGGTGCTCCCAATTGTTTTGGGGCTGCACCCAAGGCACATATTACTATTGGTACTATCTTTGTTTTCTTTTGCTGCAGTCATTCTAGTTTTATTTGCTGGGTCTCTATATTTTGTGATTTTTTTCTCTAATTCTTTCTCTTCTCTTCTGCTGCCTCCAAGTGTTGCAATCTAGACTTTTTTGTCTTTCTTATCAACAATTGTTGGGGTATGGTAGATGCTTATCTGTTTAAATTCTAAGATCTCAGAGCATGTTAGGGTCTTTATTTTCTATTACTTCTGTCTATTTTGTGGTCTCACCAGTTCTTGCTTGCAGGCAAAGCAGTTTCTTCAGCTTCTTTATAGCGGCAGCATATGCTGTCTTGTTGCTGTTTTCTCAGTTCTGGCTTTATATGCATTTATTCTTAAGACTTGGTCTTGGGCAGCCAGAATTATCTCTTCTGTCTCTTTAGCCAACTTTCCTGCTGTTTGCCATTGTTGGTATTTTTGTTATCTGCTTTGCCTGCTAGTTTTTTTTTAATGTACCGGCCATGTAATTCTTTGCCTTGCAATGTCTCTTTTTTCGCCTTCATCCCACCTTTATTATTTTTATAAAGAAGTCAAGGAATCAAACATACTAATACTCCTCCCTCCTCCTATTTTCCCCACAAAAAACAACCCTATGAGGTGGGTTGGGCTGAGGGAGAATGAATGGCCCAAAGCCATCTAGCTTGCTTTCCTGGTTAAGCCAGATCTTGAACGCATAGTTTCCTGGAGTTTGTATGAACTATATATACACACTCCTTTGTTGTGGTTGTGTTTGTTGTTATGGTTGGTTGCACCGCCATCCCGATATTTAGATGGAATTGCCATTTTTATCCACCTATTGAGTCCTTCCCAAGGACCTGAGATAGACCCATGTTGCTTTTTGATGATGTTAGAGGTATCATTGCAGGATATAAGCCGTTCTAAGTAAAATTGCCTTTTGTAATTTACTGATTATTATGCCTGAGTGTTGATGCCTGGCAACTGTCTGGAAAACTAGTTTTCT